GTATTTTGGTTATTTTATTTTGGATGATTTTGTTGAACAATTTGATGCGGATACATAATAATATGTACCAGTTAATTCCTATATAATTCGAAATTCAAATGAGAACGACTTTCTGACTTTTGAGATACCTAACTAATTTCGTGTACTAAGCATACAAATGCATGATGATTTGGTTTCGACTTCACAAGATAGCTACGATGTTTAGAAAATTGTAATTATTTATTGAAATGCTAAAATTTGATGTAGGTATTAAAAAAATTCGAAATCAGATTTTGAATAAATGCATAGTTAAAGGGAGACGTTAAAGAGGTGATGATGCTTGGCAAATCACCCTGTATAGGTTAGCTTTGACTATTAATTAATATATTTTCTGATAAATATTATAAATATTAAATATATTATGTATATATACCTATAACAATTTCCTATATTCATAATAACCAATAAGTATGCAGACAAGTTTTTTTTTGAGGGAAGGGGGGGTTAAACTGGGGCTTAGTCGTTAATAGCACCGACGACAAATATATTATGTGGTTGCTATACGATATTCAGTACCTAGCGTATGTGTTTCTAAACAAGTATAACATAATATATATAGGTACTTAAGCAATACTCGAAATAGATAAAATGGGTTTAGTAATGTTATATTATGATTTATTTTACTCTTACTTGTGCTATTAACATATTTTGATGTCGAACTGATAATTGTTCCGGTTCTATAACTATTTTCAGTAATCCGCCAAATGTGTATGATTTATTACTATAGATTTTTTACTTTTTATAAATTAGTGTACAGGAATATAGTATTCACGTTTAACTTATTGTTGGCACGTTATATAAATAACTAATAAGGCATTAGGCAATGTAATGAGAACAAAATGGGTGGGTACTGCAATTCACGTATGGTACAAGATACATTGAGTCTATTCAGAATCTTTGAAAAGTAAGAAGTACCAAAAAAAATTTGGTTAATTTTTTCCTTTATAGAATGTACGATTAAGAAAATAATGCTGAAATAGTCATGACGAATTTTCACATGATATTATATGGTATATTGTATAATACTATAATGCACCCATATATATGTCAAACCCACAGCTACCTATTAATTAGTCATTACAATTTACAGTTGTGCAGAGTGTAACTATTTCATTTATAACTATTACTATTTATTTAAGTACTACGTGTTCTTAAATGACATAATATAAATATGTCAAACTTAATTTTCACGAGATACCATAGAGCTATAATATACGATTATAAAAATTAAATATTTTGGAAAAATTTCAAATAATTTCAAGATGGTTTATGAATAGCTTAAAAGTCGATACGGTCGTTTTTCGCAACGTGTGTCTATAGGGTCTAGACTAATCTCCAAGTGGCCAATATTCGTGCAGGCAAAATGCCAAAACCTATTATTTCGGCACGTGATCAGGCATATCTAACCACTTCCGGTTGCGTTTAACAAACAAGGAAATCATGGTTTTTATTACAAGAAACAAAAAATGATTGCAACAACTGCATTTATCACACGAGCATAATGCAGGCAGATTCAAGTGTTATTTTGGTTTCGACTTTCGCCTGTGACAAATAATATGTACCTACATAAAAATCGGACGAACGTTTATGTATAGGTATATCCGTGACCTGTATGGGTTATGGGAATGGGAATATTAAAAAATGATCCGTTCTTCAGTACTTGTATGCCTACCAACAACATTAATTAACTGTGACATGTATACACATTAATATATTATTAACTATTATCTATTATCTATTATAATTTATAATTTATAATAACGAGAGCCAATGAATGTTGTGTTAATGTTGCAATTAAAAGCACGCGGAATTTTATACTAATCCTATACCTATATAAGTAGTTAATCAAATTTCCATAAATTTGCGGAATCGTACTCAACGGAACAAAATAACTGAAATTGACTATTTTAAGATTACATACCTACATATTTTTCGGATGCTGGGTACGCCATATTTTGGGATGTGTTAATGTGCTATAAGCAAATAAGCCATCACATACATTTGAAAGCTACAGATAAAATACCTATTCCAGTATGCGGCTATGCATTTGAAACATAATATTACGAGCGAAGTTTAGACTACTTTTTAAACAATAGTGTTTATAAGTACCTGTACTACCTAGGCATGTAACTATAGTATTTCAGTACTTAATTTGTCACAAGTAAGAATTTTGAATTATTTATTAATTTAATTACAATTTGAAAATAATATTCTCATTAATATTTTAGCTATACATAACGAAATATATAAAAAAATTAAAAAAAAAATTCACACTAAGCAACAACACTGCACGAATTTATACTTATTGTTTGGCAGCCAATAAATTCGTAAATGTGATATATTAAAGCTTTTGTGAGTTATTCATAATGAATTTAAGAGGAATGGGCATTTCATTTTTAAATTATATTTATGTTGTATACTAATTAGTAATTCATTATATCGTTATATAGGACTTGAAGTCTATATTATGAATTCAATAAATAAATGAATACACTTTTTAATAAAAATTGGCTGACAGTATAATTAATATTTGTTTACATTCCTGATAACTGTGTTGCAAGATAGACATTTGGTTTCCTTAAAAATGTTTTCAAACTATAACGAATTATTGCTGTATATTTAGTATTAATGTATACCTATATACATTATGCACATAATAGATCCGGTTAATATTCATGGAGCTCGATAAACATATCAATGTCTAATTTAAGTAATAGTTAAACATATTACGTAAGATTATATATAAGAAATATAACTATATGCATATTTCTAGGCTAGTTTCATGTCACGGTGAAAATAATAGTGCTGTTAAAATGGCAAAATGGTGGTAAAAGTAGAAACTCTATTTTGACGATAAAATAAAAAAAATTAAATAAGATAGCAACAAACAACTATTTACAACTAATGTTCAAACTACATATCCTCCGGATGTGTTCCCACAAAGCATTTTTTATCATAACTATTAATAAAGTAGTTGATTTGTTGGCATTTAATATTTATTTACACGCGTTCAGCCTACACAATATATATTATTACCTACTTGCATTGTTCATCGCAGTTTTTTCATAGCACCTGTGTATCGCGAATCGCAGTACAACAATGGAAACTTAATGCTTAAAGAAAAATCGATGTGGTATAACCTAAATTTAAAACCACGAACGCCAGTAAAGATAATCATCAATAATTTTTACAAATATCATTAATAATACCTATACCTAGGCAGTAAAACAATATTTAGCATGGTCAATGGACCAAAGTCACTATTATTTATTTTATTTAGGATACCTATTAAGTGTTTTTACTGCAGGTACCTACTAGATCGAACGTACAGATATAACCAGGTATTATATTATTCAAAATTCAAAGTAATGTTTATTTCATTTTTTATCTAGATCGAGACAATCTGATTGTAAATAAAATATTAATTTTGTTATAGTATAACATTATAATACGTTACATAGATATAACTATACAAGTTATAACTTATAAGTCATCATATCTTAACGATTGTTATAAATACTACCTGCTATAAATCGATATTTAATAAATATAGAACAAATTATCAAACAGACAAATGATAATTTTAACTGTATTGTGAACATTAATACTATAGCCCCAGTTAAATATTATGAAATATTTTATAGGTAGTACGCCTACGATAAACGATTAATATTAAATTTTCCGGATACCTTTATGACGTGATTACAGATAAGCGATCACCTAATTGAAACAATACTTTTTAGAATTAGGGATGTATTAATTACTATAAATTTGGTTTACGTGGTAATATTAAGCTATCGTATGCAAACTAGTGTGATTATTGTAATATTTTGCAATGTTCTTTGGGTTAACTACAGTGCATCCACGACTCACGAGACTATTATAGTAACGTTATTTAGTATATACCCTATAGGTTAACAGTTACCAAATTTAAGACGATTAATACTCAAGAGATGAAAGTCAAAATACGCATGCACAACCAATACATATTTATAAGTATTTTATAGGTACCTATACATTAAAGTTGTTTACTGATGTCTATAGCTTTAAATATATTCACTATTTTACACAGAAATCGTGTTTTGCTTCAAGCTGGAAGCTTATAAAATATACAAAAAAAAAAAAACATTAAGAAAAATATCACAAAGCAATAATGATTAGAATGTATTATACGTGAGTTGTGACTCGGTAAGGGAGTATCTGATATCAATTTAATATCTATATTCATAAACTACATAATGTGTATATATATTAAACATAATGTACCTACAAACCTTAACATAAATAAATATACATAAATGAATGTTCATATCACATTTAATTCACATGTTTCTTGAATAAATTAATATTAACTGCTGAGTTATGTACCTAACTATCTGATTGCATCAGAGAAAATCTAATGAAAAAATAAATTAAATAATCCAAAATTCTATGAATATTTAATAATTGGCAACCGGGGACCTAGGTACTCAAATTTAAGTTAATAATTGATCCTAGTACATATACACGAAATCACCAGCCCATGATATACATTTTTATATTTGTTCAAATTGATGAGTAAACATTAAACAATTAGGTACTAAACATTAAATCAAAACAAGTTCCAAAATTAAAATGTTTTTTTATATGTTTAAAAGTAAAGAATTAGTATTATGTATACAACTGTATGATATTGTTGGCAAGTTTTTTTTTTATCAAGCGGTTAAAAACAAATATCTTAATCACTGCATTGTTTTAATTTAGTATTTTGATAAATTTAAATACCATGCACGCTGTGTTAAAAAGCATTATTTAAATTGTACTTTCCGGGTATTTAAAATGTAAGTCCGAAAAATTAAATTTTGTGTTTGATTTCAAGCATTAGCAAGAATAATAAATTATTGTCTGAGAATATACTTTAACAGAGAATTACTATTACTTTCCAAAAACAATGAAGTGTAGACAAATATTGAAAAAAATACCTTTTTGAGGAAGTATGAGAATTCTTGATGCGTCCAATTTCTGGTTTATTGACACTGAAAAGGCATACGGGCCACACAGAGAGTTGTCCGGGCATATTAAATTTTCTACACATAAAATAAAGAATTAGTTTGAAAAAGTTAAGTGGTCTACCTATTCAATTGTGTTTTCTAAATTTTTAGATTTTGGAATATGAATCACGAGAATAGTATTTAATATAAAATAGATTGGGCACGTTAAAAAATTCTCATTGCAACTCAGATACAAAAACATTATGTAGTTTCGATATAAGAACTGGACATGTTTAAAAACAAAATACTTATAAGTTATAGGTATGCCTACTTTAAGATTTTTTTCAAACACTGTTTGACCATGGTTTGGTTCGTATTTGATATTTTTTATAACAAATATTTATACATTTTTTGCATTTCCCAAATTAGTAACTCAATCCAAATGTATACCTATATTGAATAAAAAAAACATTGAGTTAGTAAATTAATTTTTTTTTTACTCAATTCAAAAGAAACATTATGGTTTTTAAATTATTACTAATGTCTTAGGTCATCCCTAGAGTCATCCATATTCATAATTGGGTAGTAATATATGCAAATTCAAGCGGTCTCACACGCAAACTCAAATTACTCGTTATCGTCCAAAACTCATATTTGTGATATCATCAGTAAGCATTTAAACGAATTTGTAATAAATACATCTTTTTAAACAATCATAAGTTATTAAAATACTGCCGCTGTCTGCTGTATAACGGTACAACATCAATTAGCAATTTTATTAATTTATCGATTCTACATAAATAAATATTTCAAAGAAAAATTTTTATTTTAAATATTTTTTGTATGGAATTGGATTAAAAATAGTCATGTTAATTAACTCCACTCATGACAAATCAATTCATCTGTATAAATATAAATTATTACAATTTTTTTTTTTTAAATTTCAATAAATCTATTTAATCAATATAATCACATTTGATTAACACACAACTACAGTATATTACAGCTATAATCTTTACATGCTCACAACAATAGTAAATTAAGTTCAAACGAAAATAATCGGTAGAAATAGGTTAAAAAATTGTTTAGAAAAATGTTAAAAAACGTTTAAGAATGTTACCCAAGACAAGACAGAAACACAGACTAGGTTATCGCCTAAAGGGTATAAATAATAATTTACAACATTTTAGTGTTAAACAATGTAAATATTTTTGTATGCATAATTATATTATATAATTTATATTTGTGAATAAATGTATAATTAAATATTATACATATAATAGGTGTCTATAGGTTATTAATTATTCTTAAAATTTTAAGAAACAGCACTGTTTCAATTAATTATAAAAGCTATTAACTGGAAATGTTATATGGTATTTTAAAGTATTAATTTCCCATATGCCGAATTGGTACTCGTGTAATATGGCTACCTACCAAAAAACTAAACTGTACGGATGTAGAATACCTACCTACTTGTCTTTCATTTTATGACGGGCAAGTACCTGTGACTTGAGTATTAAGATAAACAACATATTATTAGGTATAACTGTGATACAATACTAAAATAGATGTCAAGATAACTGATTAATATTCACAAAGACCCTCGATAGGTAACACTTACTTTTAGATATTATATTATTTTAGTCATGTCAGTGTGTTTTGTCCTTCCACTTCGTATGTAACCGATTTATCGACAACTGTAATAGAAATGGTGGCAGACCATTAAAACACAACACGACAATTAATTTGAAGTTTTCTGGGATAACGTAAGACCAACATAACGTATTAAAATACTTAATGATCGTCACCAATACTAATACATTAAGTACATTTTGGTTTAATCAATTTATACTAATCAATTATCACTAGGTGAAATACGGTGCACACACGTTGTTTTTTGGTAGGTAGTATGCTACCACAACAAATTAGCGATAAGTAGATACCACACGAGTACCGAAAAATTACCAACAACTATCTACCGAATAATTTTGAAGAAATCTCAGTTATAAACATGGTTCTAACAAACCTCAGGATCGTTTTAAAAATGTCATGAATTCTCAATGGTTTGAACAACAATAATGATCATATACTGCTATCTTTTTCCAAAATCAAGAGAGCTTAAAGAATTTCCCCTTGAAAATTTTTTTTCGATCTTACCCATACGTTAGTTTTAGTTGTAAATATTAAAACTAAAATGTATAATATTTTACCACAGTTAGGTAGGTACTATTAGTCCATACATTTTTGTTTCACCACAAGTCGCAACTGTTTTAACAAATATTTTGATCAAAACTAAAGAAGGTAAGTGAAGCAAATCGGGAACTTAAATTACTTGTTAGAGATTATTTTAATGCATAAAATAAGTCAAATAGTAAATAGCTTAAAGTGAACTTATAAAACAAAACCATAATTTAAATTACTAATTGTATTTTACATACAGAGATTTATTATAAAAATCCAATTTTTATGACCCCCAAACATGTTGAGTGTAAACAGACATAAATATTATGAGTTATAAAATACATATTAAGTCCTTTAAGCCCCCCATGATAAACATATGCGATTAAGAATAAATCCGTGAAAAGTGTTTACATATTGCATATTAAGTAGACAAGTATTATAGTCTTATTTTATGATGGTTGTTATACAATTCTGTGGTACCTATCGTCCACAGAACAATAAATTATTTAAGTAAAATATGTTAATCAAACTATTTCGAATACAGTAGGTACAATTCATTATGCTGTACCAAACATTTTTATCATACAAAACATAATATACCTACGTAACAATGTTCAAAAGCATAATAAATTAATTAAACGTGTAATGATCTGAACCTTGGAAATTGTATTTGATATTTTATAATATAATCTAACCACGATAACCAAGTTAGAGCATCACGTAATACAAATTGCAAAAAGGTCTAGCTAGAATTAAATACGAATACATACCTATTGGCTATTAATTATACATTGCACTTATTTGTACTAATAAAATACTTTAAATAAATATAACATTTTAAAGTGTTTGAATACATACCAATATTCTCTTCCATGCGTCTATTCAAAAATAATATCACGAATTTGTTTTAATTTAAATTTAAAAATAAAACAAATATATTCATAAAGTAGATAATATAATAATATAAGTAGATACATTCAATTTTTGAATTATAGTATTTAGTAACTAATTAAATGAAATATTTATGAACCTACATATTTTTATTGTTATTGTTACTACTCTAGATAGTTATACTTAATTGATTATTAAGTATAAATACCATATCATACATTTTATACATTTCTGTATATTATATAAAGGAGAACAGAGAAATTATTTTTTAACTGTAAATTGTAATATAGTTGGCTTAAATTATATTGCAATTTTAAGTTGTAATGAATATATTAAATTATTTCATGCAATTTGTGTAATTAAAATCGATTAATGTTTTGTAATCCGTAGGGTTAATCAATCATATTTTAAATGAAAACTAATAATAATTCTAAATTAATTTTAAAATAATTACTATATGTGCATAATATATAAATATAAATTTCTCAGTTTATTTTTTCATATATGTATTTGTTTTGTACAAAGTGAAACCAAGCCATGCTCAAGTATATGACCAAAACAAATTTTTTTTAACTTGATATTATGATACGGGTTATGGATACAACATATTATTAATAATTATATTATGCATGTATGACAACACGCAGAAAAGGTACAGCAACAGAAAAAATTGAGTAGGTACTATTTAAATTTTAAACTTTAAAGATATATAAATCTTATCATTTGACAGTTAAGAATGTTCAGATTATATCTATGACATATTATGTGGTTACTTTGATAAATGAACCATATCCTAAAAGAATAACAATTGAAGTAGAGGTGCAAAAAATACAAACGAAATTTAATGTAACTAATAATTAAATATAATATGGTTTTACTTATAGACTTTTTAAGTAAGCAGTTCATCTATTATTCAAAGATGTTTGCAGATTTAACGAAATTGTAAAACGGTTTGTGAGCATACTTTTTAGACGGAAAAAAAATATGTAAAATTAAATTATAACTAATTTAAAATCTACGAGTGTTGTCATTTCATTAATTTTATCGTGATATTAAATTTGCACATTTATACCGTATGTTTTTCACAATAACATTTTAAGATTGTGAGTGAAATATTAATCATAAAAATAATCAACTATTTATAATCCGGAAGACTATGACAACAATCGATAATATGGTGTACGTTAAATTAGTATTCCAAGTGTCTAATGCTATATTTTGTAAGGTATGACAAGGCTAAAGTATTTCAATAACTACATTATCATTATCATTTACTTCCATCATCAAAATATTACATTTTTAATTATTTTACCTGTATATAGTTTGCGGGTATTAGCTACAACAATAAGTTATACAAATTGTTCTAAATAACACTATTAACCAACTACCTATACATAATACCCTATACATAATACCCTATACCTAATACCCTTATAAAGCATTGAAATGCAGAAAAATCATGTCAAAAATGAATATTTTGTACCAACTGAACTATATTTTGCATTATTTAGTATATGTAACCTAAAAAACGTATATTAATTAAAAATATACTGAAAAGTATAATAATTAATCATGCTTCAATGTAATAGGTGTAACGAGTCCGTTATCAAATGGAATCATTATATGTAATAGGTATAGGTACCTATAAAGGTATAGGTTTTTTTATTGCATATTTTCTATGTATAAACAAGTGGTGTTCGTCGTGTGCGTGTTGGGTTGGTTACTGACAAAAAATTCGTTAATCGCTGAATGAAAACATGCGTAAATATAAAGGTGCACCCAGTTAGGAGATTCCATTATAAATTCTCGATTTAAGTACCTATTGATCCCATTTGGACTCAGAACTTACTAAATGGTTACTAACTAATAGACCATGGTAATATTAAAGAATATTCATGAGTTCATAAGAATATTAGAAATTGATTTGTTGTAAAAATATAATAACCAGGGATACATGTTTATTAACTATATAGTTTATTTTTATTCATTTTGTTCAATATTTTATATTGCATCCTTTATTATTAAAAACGTGGTTTTCATTTTAATAACCAATAATTTGATGTACCTAATAACTGTAGAGAAAATACATAACATAAGATCTTAACAAATAATAAATTCCTACAGGTATTCTTGGGATATTATTATTTATTAATTCGGTACTCGATCTGATAATCTGATAATGTATAATACAGTCATTGATCAAAATACATAGTCTTAATTGGCTCATGGTTATTTAATTTAAAATCATTTTTACAAGATTATATTCTAATTACTAATAAAATTAATGGAGTTGCAAGTTGCAATTATTAGTACATGACAACATAGTGTATAGTATCGGAAAAATATTATATTATATAGGTAGTTAAGACCTGCTCAGTTTTATTTTGTTTACATGAAACGTATCTATCGATAGCGAAATTGTTGCAAAATGAGCTACTGCAACCAATGTATCATAAGTCATAACATAATATGAACGACGATAAAAAAAAATATTGTTTAGCCGAAATTGTATTATTTTCAAATAATCTAATAATGTACTTTTTACGTTTTTTTTTAGAAATGATAGTTTAATATTACATTTATCGAAACGTTCGAATGTTATATTTAAGACAGAGAACGTGATTATAGTTCTTTTTTTTTAGATAACGTTAGCTTTTAATAAAAGGCATTGGAGCAAATATATTTGTTGTGAAATTAAGCTAAATTGATTTGTTACTATATAGTTTATAGCAATAGTTACAAATTACAGACGCTTAAGTAATGCGATACGTATTGATCGTAAACAATTTCTCATTCTATTAATTTGAATAGACTATGTACGAGTAAACTTGCACAAGAACAGTCCGGTACATCCACACAAGTTATATTTTCATTAAAAACTCTGTGGTGGTTTTAATAAGTAAACACCACTTGCATTTACTTTATTTTCACGATTATTTGCTTAATAATAATATAATATCGTCGTGATTAAATTGGATATGGTTTTCAAAATAACGAGTTTTTCAATAACTCTTGTATATATAACGGATATACATTAGTTACGATGACAATATTATATGTCTTTTCCACTTAAAGAGGTACTTACGTACAATAGGAATATGACCGGATATAAAAAGTTACATGCCTACAGCAATAATTGCAAATAAATCGTAAACTTTGATAAATGTGACATCTGTCCACGCATGTTATGCATAAATGTATTCACCCCCAAGTGGTTCGATTTATAACCACATAGTTCAGCAAATAAAATAATAAATACGCCCAAGTGTAAGTGGATTTTTTTTCTGCGAAAAGCTACTAACTGCGAATCAGGCTGAATCTATATATTATTATACATTTATACCTATAATGTAGGCACGCTTAAAAGTTATATATTACATTACTCGTGGACTGAATAAATACTGATCGCAAACGATTACAACGTTATAACATAATATTATGTAAGTTCAAGATCGTACGACCGGGGCTCCGCTTTGATTTCCTACCGGTTTGAAAAATAAAAAGAATCATAAATTTGCGGTTAACAGTGGGTATTATAGGTGCATATAAAATAATATATTTTATAGTATCTAATACGTCGGCAAACGTCGTAAAATTTAATAGGGGCAAGGAAAAATTAAAACAAAAAAACACAAAAACTCGTTTTCCGGCATACCATCGCACGAGCCCCGACCGTCGCCGTCGTCTGCCACCCATCATCGTAATCAATTTCGGACTTTGGTGTATGCTTGAACGGGATCTACCTATTGTTTTCGACCTCGTTTACGTAGATTTAAAAATTGTTTGTGTTTTTTTACTATTTTGCTTACCATATATAACGTGACGGGGGATGCCTCGAGAACGCTAGTCGCCGCCGCTGCCGGTTTGGTGTCGAAGGTTCTCCTGTTCGCACACAGTGTACTACGTTGCAACTCTTCCGATTTTTCTGATAGGTGTATTTTTATATTATTCAATCGTCCCCACGTTTGGGTCGTGGCTGTCGATTGTCCGAGTATTACAGGTATAGATATGGTTGATAGGAAGGCGGTTTGCTCGCTCTGGACCACCGCGGTATATGCCGATCGGTGCTGAAGATTTATGCGTCAAAACCTTGTGTGACGACTTCGTCTGGCTGTGATCACGGTTAGGTGATATTAAAATTAAGATAACTGTAGCAGCCACGAGTTTTCACTACTTATGGTTAGCAAACAGTTATCTGCCCAGATCACTTGGTGCGTGTTCGTGATTTGTCGACGACAAACGAATACGGAGCTATTCCATACGATCTCGTGTAATTATAATATTATAACAATAACAATAATAATAATAATAATAATAATAATAATAATATTACGGATACACTCACTATCGCGACAGCGCACATGCACAGACAGCCAGTCGCCCGAACGCGTTGCGTACCTGTGGACTACTGCAGCAGCTGCACGCGACGCGCAGCCGACGAAAATAATAATAATAATAATGCAACGAAATAAAAAGTCCGCCGAAGCCCTTCTTCTCACCGCCGACGTGCTGCGCGTTGGTGCGACCGGGCGGCGTATATTATGAACACGTACAACACTTGTAGTATATTATTTTGCATTGTTGTAAACACACGTACGTTATTACTTATTATTGTTGTTATTATTGTTGTCTATAATAATTAATTAGGCCCGAGAAAAGTCACCAGCTGTGCGCGTGCGTGCGCCGCGGGACGTCGCTCCCCGCGCAGCTGCGACACAACCGTAATTTTGCACGAATTTTGTTGTTTTATTATTTTTTTTGTATCCTCTTTGCCCGTTGTTCCGACGTCAAAAATTAATACGCGCACATTATCGGTACGCATCGAACGTTTTTGTTGCGTGCTTTCAGAATTTTTCGCTAGGAGGGAGCAATTGGGATAGTATTATGTAGATTGTAGGTATATAGGAACAAGAGTAAAAACAATGTTCAAGTTTAGCTCGAAATTTGGGTTATCTATAATTTATTATTTTTAAGGGTTTATACAATTATAATGCGCCTGTAAATACATAATTCATTTTTATAAATAAGGTAGGTAGGTACCTACTATATTATATTATGTTTTGCATATATTATGCTAGCATTTTGTGATACTTAAAATTTAAAGAGCTGATTTATTAACTTTAGTGATGGTCAAAACAAAACCTTAAAAATCTTGGTCTTGTGATTGCAGACTCAGTCTTGGTCTTGATCTTGCAGACCCAATATTGGCAATATTAGTATTACTGTATTAGTCTTGCGTAAGACTCTTGCTATTTTTACAAAATGTATCAAACAAAATTAAATACCTGTTAAATAGCAAGAGCTGTGTAGATTTTTTTCTACAAGCTCCGAGAGGAAACCTTACAAGTGCAATGTATAAAATATATTAATAATTCAAACCTAACATAAAACAAGTCAAACAATTTATTTTTAATTTTACTCGTTTTAAAACTTTGCCGTTTTTAATTTATATTCATATAATTTTACTTGTGTTCTTATTTCATGAATCATTTTACTAGCATAATTAAGTTTTTAAGTTCCTATTATGTTAATAGTAAAATCAGGAGATAATCACTAGCATTTCCTATAACTTTTATAAATATTGTTTAATTCGATACACTTATGTGTTTTCCGAGAAAACAAAAAATTCACCAGAGTCGTGTGGTTTTGTCTTGTTTCGCTCTTTTTCTTGTAGCACGAGTCTTGCGAGATCGCAAGACTGAGACCAATTTCCAACTCTAAAGCTGTACCATTCCTTTCATAATTCGTTTAGATTTTAAGCACCCAGATATTGTTTGTGAAATTTAAAAGCTTTTTTTATTCACAAACATTCAACATCGATCAATGTTGAGTTAATAATCAACTCATATTAGGATTTACGATGCACGAAAATGTGGCACTGACCATAGTAAGATTTTAATGTACTCGCAATTTGGTAAAAAAAAAAGGCATGACGAGTCAGGACTACCTCTAAATTCTAATCAGTGTTCGTTGGATAGTGGCTAGTCTACATAGTAAACCACGAAGGTTGTTGCAATACTGCAACTGCAATAGTGACCAACTTAAACTGGTATCATGATAGTTTATTATAATAAAATAAACAAAGCTGACAAGTACTAATAAAGATTTTGAATTTAGGGGCTTAAGAATTGAGCCTCACTCGTCACTAACCTGTGCTATTTGTTTGAGGGAATTATAAATATACTTTAAAACGCTTATTTTCGTATACATTTGGTTAAGTTTTTAATTTTTCCCACCGATCCCCCTTCTATACATTGTAAGTTATGTACCCTTAATAATCCACTGTAAGGCCAGGAAAATATAAATATGTGAAACCAACAGAACATAATATTAACTACAGTCTACATTGGTGATTACGTAAGTCTTATATTATGTAAGACTTCTATTTTATAGAATTTAGTTAAAGTATTATACAAACTACAAGTATATCAATTATTAATTCATTCAACGGCTATTTCAGTCGTAAAAAGTTGACAGTTATATAGATCTTGTATGTTTGTATGTATAAATTATTTTATAACTATATTTTATTTTTTTAAGTGCAATTGAATATTTGTCTGATACATCTATACATCATGCATATGAATATATTATAATATACCTACTTCTTCTTATAACCGTAGCATAACTATCTTATATTATAATTAAAATTTTATATTTTAAAATATTTTCCAAATATAATCAGTGGTAAGTACTATTTAGAGGGACTAATTAGAAAATATAGTTACCGAGATGGGAGCTGTAAAGAATAGTTAAATAAATATAGTTATTCGAACTAATTGTAGAGTACAACTTCTATTCAACTATAGTAATTAGACAATCTAATCACTTATTAAAATAATAAATTTAGTTTATTCTTCACAGAAAATATCTATCAATATGACTACCTATATAATGATTAACTATACATATACTAATACATTCGTGTACGTAATCAACACAATTAAATTATTTTAATCAGTATACCAGATACCTACGTATTATTATGTATAGTACCTATATTAGTTATTCATACTATTTATATATATTATATATATATTAATAAACTATATAATATTTTAGTTATTTATTTTTCTGTGATACAGTCCAGCTATAACCATTATATTGGGTTCCGATTTACCATCAGCTGTGTTTTTGAGTGCATGTTTTTAATCCTTTCTTTACTGCTATTAACACCATACCGGTTTGTAGACTTTTTAAGTGACTCTCATTAACTACAGATGTCTTCACAAAACTGTGGAAATTGAATTATATAGAAAACCAGAGATCGTGCTTCTGTTTGCAATTACCGTCTCTCTTCAAATTGCCTTCCAGCAGTGCTACATTTACTATTTTTCCACCGAGGTAAAAATTATTTTGAAACCTCCCCTCCCTAACTTTTCTTAAAACTCAATCTTATTTAGTAATATTATTTTTTTTTTTTGGTAAACTTTGTATTTTTTATTCTGAGTAAAGTCATGATTTATTACCAACCTAATAATTATTTGTTTTATAATGCGTGGTTTTTATTTTTTTTGTTCTTAGCTATTATGCTTTAAATCAGAAAGATACTTTAATCGTGAACTTTGGAAATGGTTTCCGGCAGCAAATTAATTGATAAAGTTGAAATTTTTTTTGGAGAGTGTAATAAAATTTGATTTTTGTTCAACCTAATTTCATACTCAACATTTATTAGGTAACAATTTATAAGTATATGGAGACGCCTCTTTTACATATTTTTTTCATGCTTTTTCTAACTTTGAATGCTTATAAATGTGCTCATGTAAATTTAATATTTTTTTACTGTTATTATTATAACAACTTATGAGGAACCTTGTATTAAATTTTACAATTTTTCGACACAACAAATACATTTTTATTGATATTTTTTGACAAAAATTTATAAAATTAAAATTCTACTAAATATAAATAGTTAAAAACAAGTCAAAATATTTCAAACATTTTATCATAATCTAAAATTGTAAAATAAGGATTTGGTAAAAAGGTTATGAACCTACAGGTTTTCATTTTTGAATTACAACAAAACCAGAAAATTGTTCTAAGAGAATTCGTTATAAATTTAAGGCTGAAAATAGAATGTTAGACAAATTTAAACTACAAACATGTGTAAAAAATTAATGTTGATTTATTCACAACTTTTTTTAAATTCCATAAACAAAAACTTATGAGAAACCTAGTATTGAATTTTCAAGTTTATGGGCCGAACGTAAAATTTTTATCGACAATAATTTAAAAAACTAATAGATTTGACTAAATTCTCAAATACCTATAAATATCTAAAAATGAGTTTAAGCAGACAACAATAAAAAAAATGCAAAATTTGCACAAGTATGCACTTTTTCTAAAATATAACAAAATCTGCAAATATATGCAAATTTAAATTTTCATATTTTATTTACTTATTTCATTAAACAAATTTATGGCTTATACCTACAATTAACTTCGACCACTACAAATAAACATGCAAATGTAAGAAGTCTCAAACCCTACTGATCATCATGTTATTACATTATTTATTTATTATGTATTTATATTGCTTTTATACTATCAAAGTAGGTAGTGTATTATTAGTAATACAGTAGGTTGAATTAATTTTCGCCAAATACATTGATTTGATGATTTAATAGCGTGTATAGGTCTACAATAAAACAATATACGCTAAATTGTTAGAAGTTCCAAGAATAATATTTTTTGGTTACAACAAAATAACTAAATCGTAATAATATTCATTTTTTAAATAGGTTTATAAATTTGAACTTCAAAAGTACTTATATATTTTTTGATTTCAATATGCGAAATGCTTATGACTCATAAGTAAATTGTGAGGAAAAGTGAGGAACCATACGTTAAATTTTCAAGTTTAAAATATAAGAATTGAACATTTTACAAACTTATATTTCTAAATAATTGACGTACCTATTCTTTCAAAATTTTAATTTTAAATGATTATGAAAAAAATTGTGTTAATGTATGTATAACATTTTTAAATAACTTTAATAACAACTTTTGAAAGACATTGTATTCAATTTTCAAGCTTTTTGACCGATCGTAAATATTTGTATTTTAATTTATAGAAGAAATTCTAATATATCAAACATAATTAGAAATATTTCAAAAAGTGCCAAAATATTAAATTATTTATACCATATTTTATAGAAAACATAAACATATGGTGACAATTTCAAGTTTCTACTGATGTCCGTTTTTGAATTACACAAAAAAAAAATCGATTATATTGGTCGCTGGTTCTATGTCAAAATACCGATTTTTGTAAAATTGTATTTTTGTTTTTCTGATTATTCTGTAATATAGTGGGAATTTTTTTACTTCTGACCTTTTGGAGTACCAACTGGATCCAATTTGCTTCAATAAACCACCTTCCGAGTTGAAAAATCTAAGCACTTTTACTGCTCCAACAGGTGATGACTGACG